CTGGGGTCTCAGACAGGTTCAGTGGCAGTGGGTCAGGGACAGATTTCACACTGACAATCAGCAGGGTGGAGGCTGAGGATGTGGGAGTGTATTACTGCATGCAAGCTTCATATTATCCTCGCACAGTGATACAGCCCCGAACACAAACCTCCATGCTTGGGGTGGCCCAGCTGCCCAACTGTGCTGTTTGTCTGGTGACAGCTCAGCAGAATCTCTGGCTGTATAAGAGGATGTAGTTGGAGAACTCAGGGCAACAGGCTGCATCTGAGGTGTTCATTACATGAATGTCTTGTCTATTAGTCAGGCAAATCCATTAATAGCCCTGTTAGCTGCAGCAGCCCTGAAATGGCGTAAGTAGCAGAAAAATAAATATGATCTTAGCGCCTTCTGAGTAACTAGACATGACCGAAGGGAGAGCCAAGTGCAATCTCATCCTCATCCTTCTGCTTTGCCTACATTTGTCTATAAGACTTAGTCAGCAAAAAAAAAAGCCAGACAATTAACGCAGATTTGCAGCACTATGTGTTGAATACATCTTGAGGTGTAGCAGTTTTATGCATGTTTTAAAGAGGATAATATTTGGTGATATGCAGCAATTGGTACTTTCCCACTTTCCCAAATTCCTTCTTCTCCTTTCACTTCTTACCACCACAAAGATGGTGGTGACAGCATTCTACACAAGCTGCCCACAGGAGCCACTGACTGAAGACAAGTAGTAAAAATCTTGGTGTTTAAGCCTCCAAATAGACTATTGTAAATTCATGGTGTAAGATTGAAGATTCTAATGCTAAAACTCTTTTATTTGCTTCAATTGTCTCTTGCTAATAGACAAAGTCAGTTCTTGACATTTGAAAAGCTGGGTTTTAAAAAGAAACAAACAGGCAGGCCCCTCCCTGGGAAGCCGCTGGTCAGGTGGGCGGGGATGTGACCGCGGGCCCTGCAGGCCTGCCTGGGGCCTGCCTCAGGCGTCGCCTCAGCCCCGGTGTCAGTGCCCTCAGTTCACACCCATGGCGGGATCCCGGTGCACCTGGGGCGCGGAGCAGCTGCGGTTTCTGGAGGCCTTCGGGTGGCTGTGGCAGGTACAGAGCCGCCTGGGCAGTGGCTCCTTGGCCTCGGTGTATCAGGTGCTGCTGCGGCTGCTGCAACCCCGGCTAGCCCCCCAGCGCTCTCAAGCAGTTCTTGCAGCCGGGATCCACCAGGGCTGCAGCCTGGGCCGCCCAGTATGGTTTCCACAAAGAGATGGCGGCGCTGGAGCAGTTGCAGGGTCACAGGAACATCGTGACTCGTATGGAGTCTTTACAATCCACTTCTCTCCAAATGTGCCATCACGATGTCTGTTGCTTGAACTCCTGGATGTCAGTGCTTCGGAATTGCTTTTATATTCTAGTCACCAGGGTTGTTCCATGTGGATGATACAGCATTGTGCCAGAGACGTTCTGGAGGCCCTTGCTTTTCTTCATCATGAGGGTTATGTCCATGCAGACCTCAAACCACGTAACATATTGTGGAGTGCAGAGAATGAATGTTTTAAACTCATTGACTTTGGACTTAGCTTCAAAGAAGGCAATCAGGATGAAAAGTATATTCAGACAGACAGGTATCGGGCTCCAGAAGCAGAACTGCAAAATTGCTTGGCCCAGGCTGGCCTGCAGAGTGATACAGAATGTACCTCAGCTGTTGATCTTTGGAGCCTAGGAATCATTTTACTGGAAATGTTCTCAGGAATGAAACTGAAACATACAGTCAGATCTCAGGAATGGAAGGCAAACAGTTCTGCTATTATCGATCACATATTTGCCAGTAAAGCAGTGGTGAATGCCGCAATTCCAGCCTATCACCTAAGAGACCTTATGAAAAGCATGCTTCATGATGATCCAAGCAGAAGAATTCCTGCTGAAATGGCATTGTGCAGCGCATTCTTTAGCATTCCTTTTGCCCCTCACATTGAAGATCTGGTGATGCTTCCTACTCCAGTGCTAAGACTGCTGAATGTGTTGGATGATGATTATCTGGAGAATGAAGAAGAATATGAAGATGTTGTACAAGGTGTAAAAGAGGAGTGTCAAAAATATGGACCAGTGGTATCTCTACTTGTTCCAAAGGAAAATCCTGGCAGAGGACAAGTCTTTGTGGAGTATGCAAACGCTGGTGATTCCAAAGCTGCTCAGAAATTACTAACTGGAAGGATGTTTGATGGAAAGTTTGTTGTGGCTACATTCTACCCACTGAGTGCCTACAAGAGGGGATATCTGTATCAAACCTTGCTTTAATCAGTAACCGAAGGACTATTTCCTGTTTCTCCTCTTCCATTTCCTGGGTTATTGTATTCCACATCTGAATGCAGAAGTACCCCTTTAGCATTTTAAGGGAGTACTTTTTACATTTATTTAATCCTACTAATGTGCAGCCATTGCCCAAGCAGTGACTGCATCACAAACATTTGGCACTGAGTAGGACAAGACCCCTCAGCTATATATTGAGGGGTTTTAGAGCATCCATGTGGGCAACCTTTTTTTTTGTGCAGTAGGGCAGGTGCTGCTCTTTAGTATGTAACCTAAAAAGAAATTAATTATCTCATGTGACCGTGAAGCAAGGGTGAATATGTTGTAGTGAATATTATTAACAAATTTGTTAAGGTTGGTGACATCACTTAGAGATTATTCCTTTATGTTGTCAGGTGGTTCTTCCTTATTGTTGATATCCATAGCTGGTACTGGATGCTCTCAGTAATGTTAAGTAATTGTCAAGCAGCAGTTACCCACTGTGTTCTTAACACTGAGTTGTGAATCTTTTTAAAGGAGTACCATAGTACTGAATATTCCTTTAAAGAAACTGCAGTGAGCCTATCTACGTTTTTTTTTTTTTATTAAGGCTTTTAAAATAGAAAGCTGATGCTTGATCTTGCACAATTTTTATGTCTAGCATGTATGCTTGAGTGAGTGTGCAGGTGTGAAAGATTCGAGAAAATGTGAGTCAGTATACTTTATAGTGTGAATCTTGTGAGCTAATTCTGTCTATACCCATCTCTTCCCCACCTTTTTCACATCTGTAAGATACAGTATATGTATTTTGAGAGTTGGTCAGTCTGATAGAATGTAAATGAGAAAACAGTTCATTCCTGAGAGGCTCAGAGCAAACTGGCTTCTAGCCTAGGGTTACATTGAAACTCTTAAAGTGATTGGAACAAAGAAAAGATTTTGCTACCTATAAATCACCCCATCCTTCAGTCTACCTTAGACCTCGTCTTGGCTCATCTATTTTGTACTAAATCTCCTATAATTGTAAGATTTTTCAAGATGTGGCTGTACCTACTATGATGGAAAATTGGAGTGGGTCAAAAAGAAGAATTAAATATACAGTGAAGGGAAAAGAAAAATAGCCAAAGAGAAGGTAAATAGTCAAGGATTCTTCTTTCTTCCTTTCTGTATCTCTCATTGTCCCCTCCCCCTTCTCCTCTCCTTTCCCTCATTCTCTGCCTCTATGTGTAGCTGAAGAAAAGCTAGAGGACTACCCAGCATCCTGGGTAGTCTGGCTTTTGACTGCAAGGAAATTAGGAAAGATATAGATATAATAAGGTAGACGTTGAAAGGAAGAAAAACTCAGAAGAATTCTTAAAAGAATTTATAGCAATTTAATGTGTCCCTGAAAAGAGGATGCCAGTGTACACAAGTACATGGACCCAGCTTGATAACATGGTTTTAAGAATTATAATTATGGATTATTTTTACTTTATGGTAGATTATCTTTAAAGGTATAAAAATTAGGAAAGTTTTATAAAGCACTGATTATACAAAGAAAAAAGCAAGTTGTATACAGGTTATGAGTTTTTTTGCCTGTTTTCCTCACCTGAATGAAAATTTTATTTATTAATTTTTCCTAAGGAAAAAGTATTTTATCTTTCCCTGCTTTAAGCCTCCTCATAAAATCTTTCCTTGTATGTGCCATGCAGATTACCAAGAGTTCAATTAGAATTTACATTTTAGAGAATGAATTATTTTCCTCTATTCAGTCACTGACATTTTAGGTATTTACAGTTACTGAGTTATTGAAGACTCTTTTAATATTTATTATGAAGCCAAATTTGGTAGAAGGAGGCTGATTTATGAATTACCAAAGGGTCTTGTGGCATGGTCCCCAATATGTGCCCTTAGAAGGAATAACTATTATGTTTTATTTTGGTCCTTTCAGAGGTTGATTAGCTAATTTATTTGCAAGTCAAAATTCAAGAGAGTAGAACCAGTATTGTAAAGACCTAAGCTCTCCTAAAACATAAATGTTTATATGGATAGCTCCTTTTGTGGTTATTAGAAACATCAGGTTTTTACATACATACTGATGAATACAGAATACTAGTGAGTTCTTTTTAAGGGCAAGTATACTAGGTTAGCACATGTAACTTTCTCACCCCCTTCCCTGAAAAGAGAAATCCTTACAAATAAACTGCAGGTAGGCTTTTAAGCTTAGTCATGCAGTATGCTGCTAACATCTTAATGCTGAAGTTAACAGCATTCTTTGATCGTCATCTTATTGCTGATGTAGTCATACGTATTTCAGTGTTTAACACTGTAGAATATTTTTACAGAAGATGCTAACTAGATGTTAAGGGAGCTGAGGGAATAATTGATGAGCCTTGAATTAACCATGCATTGAATTAAATACTTTATGTTAAAGTCACAGAATTGAAAAAAGATGCCTACTATGATTTAAATTGTCATTTTATAACTCTTAGCCCTTTCTACCAAAGATAATGTTAGCAGACTCTCCCTCCCTCCTCTGACAGTATCAGAAATTTAATCTTACTATCTTTCTTAAACTGGAACCAAATATTATCAGAAGATGCAATTTTCATGATTCTTTTAAGATGAAATACACACATAGGGATTTTGATTCTTATAATTATTGAAAATCTCTACATTTTCTTTTTGAGAGGCAGGGTAATGAGGTGAAAAAGGTTCATGTAATGTAACCTCTACTCCTTTGGGCAAATTTTATCTCAGGTTTATTTTCTTTTTCTAAATTAATACCTGTGCTTCCTTGCCTCTCACCGTCCCAATTACTTCTTTATTGTTCTGTGGTATTGCTATGACACAGTTTGCCCCCAAAAAGGCATAGAAAGTGATTATTCTATAGGAAATTTTTGATTCTTTAGAAACATATTTGGAGACGGTGGCTAGCTAGCCACTGTGAAAACTATAATGTTGTATTTAGAGGAGAACAATAAGTAGAGTTGGACAGCTCAGTAAGAGATAGCACTAGCTAGGAGTAAGTATTACTGCCTTTTAAAGGGATTTAAAAAAATTATCTTCTTGCAATAAGAGATCTGCATTCATTACCACTAGATGTCTTCCTTGCTTTTGCCCATCAATATAGCAACTCTTTTTAGAGAAATTCCCTTTCTGCTATGCCTTGAGCCAAAACTATAGCTGCTCTTAGAACAAAACCCATAAATATAGTTTTATTCATCCTTCTCTTTGTTTGCATTGAGAGAAAATATTGCCTTCTTTTTGGTACTCCAGCTGCTAAAGAGTGCTGAGATATGTTAAATTAACCTTTAAAAGAAAATCTCTGAATTCTTATTTAGCTTGTCTTCTAGATTCCTGTTACTTATATTTTAACTTTTGAGCAAATTTATTATAAGGAACGCTGCCAGAAACAGTGCTGCCATGTAGAGGAAGCTAAAGAGAAACTGTGGGCATAAGCCTTTTTTCTATCTTATTACACTGGACTTTCACCCTGGTAAGGGCATCAGTTACTTTTCTGGAATAAATTAAATGTAGAGTTAGAGCACTTATCAGATGCTGTTTCATGGCTTTAGTTCATTCATCAAATGCAGGTAACTAACATTTTGGCATCATTTTCTTAGGTCTTATTTTCTGACGGTATTAAATTTGGCTTATTTTACATAATTTCTACTATCAGTTACATTTGGCAGCATGACATTTTGTTTTTTATGATTAATTTAATAAAAATCAGCACCATTGTAACTGATAGTAACTATAATAACATAGTTACTGGGTGAGGGAGTAGGGGAGACACTCAGTAGCCATGTGTTTACCTAAACTCTTATGCAAGGTTACATGCCAGGTGGCTTTATTCAGATTAGGGTACAGATGGAATCACATCATGACTTTTTGTCTGATGGATATATAGACAGTTAAAGATTTAAGCAAGTGCCTTGTGTTTCCTGGAAATAATTAAAATTCATTTGGGTGAAAGCTTCCCAGATGACGCTAATTAATTGCACTTAATCTGCCTTTCTCTTGGAATAACTTTTGGATTGAGTCACATAGTATAAAAGTCCAAAATTTCCTTGGTTTACCTTTTATTTGGTATGTGTAAAACTATTCATATTTGATTTTATTCTGATACTACATGTGATAGAAAAGCCAGAGTTATCTGGCAGAATTTAATTCTTTCTTGCATCTAGTTTCATTTTCAATATCAGGTTCCTTCTTCAAATCTTAATTTTCTAGCTCTCTGATATTATTTATTTATTTATTATCAATTATAGTCACATACAGACCAGTCCTTGGTCACAATTAGCTCAAAAAAATTCCCATTTCTTCTTAAGGTGCTCAATAAATCACCTTTATTTTGAGATGTTAATCTTTCAAGATGGTAATCTTTCACTTACGAGCTTTTGCAATGAATATAAAAATGTTGTCTCCATCATATGGAGCTCATCTGAGCCTCTCGTAGTATGTTTAGATAAATGCTATTCTTAATCATAGAGAAACATGAATATTTTAGTTTTTAGAATACCCAAAATGTTTAAGATTTTGTTTGCTTTGTTTTGTTTTAGTTAGCTGCTTCTCTACCTGATACTGCAGAATTTCTCATGTTCCTTATACTAGCCACTTCCCCCAGATGTTTTTCACTATTTTTTAAATTATATGATGACTAGTAGATTCACATAGTGGCATGCAGTTGACAAGTAAGTTCTATGGATATTTAAGAAGAAGGTAAATAATTTTAACTATTTTTGCTGTAATTTTATAGGAGAAATTGGCTGTAAAAGAAATATCTATAAACCAGAGAGCATTTAGGACATTTTATATTTTATAGGTGGTCATTAAGGTGATCTTCAGGATGTAAGATACATAGTTTATGCAAACTTTGTTCTCCTGATGAAGTTTTTATTCATTTTCCTACAGCTCAGCACTTTTGTTGTTCCTTATACTACTTATGAGGATTAATGCTTTAAGTTTGTTTTATGTGCGCCTTTCAGAGAGTTGTCATAATCAAGATAGTTGTGGTTATGGTACCATAAATGCTAGAATTCATGAGAAACTAATCAAATGATTGCCTGGGTTTTGTTTCCCAATAAATTGGGTAGCTATCACAATAATCTGAAAAAAATCTAATGGCTCTTCCAAAGGCCATGCTTATTTTGTGACCTAGGTTCATAGTATTTTAATTTAAAGGCAAAGAAAAGCATTGTTATTTGCCTTATATGATCATTCTTGTGCAGAAGAGAGCTTATTTTGTTGTACTACATTATATAATGAAAATAAGTCACATTCTGGAAAGAAAAACCAACTAGAATTGTTCATTTTTCTTTTGGGGAGTTGGAGGGAACCCCTATGTAAAAATCAGAGCTACTTGCTGCCATAAGCTCTTGACTCTCAGCAAGAGAATTACTTGTAATCACTTTTTCATCCCAGGTTGGAATTACATTTCCTTGCTTTCTCCTCTTAATAATATTCATGATATTAGGACAATGAATATGTAAAAGCAAATGTGGTGAGGTATTCTAAAATCATGCATATATGGACTCAAATCTCTTCAGTTCTATATTATTTTACTAGCATGGGTTGTCAGAAGACTGCTGAATTTAAGAGTAAGGAGGAGAAAGAGAAGTAATAAAAAGAGAGATCAGGGGAAGAAAATGGCTCCCTTACTGGTATTAGTAATGTTCCATATAGTTAATGATCTAAAAATGATGTTTATTTTAAAAATCTAGGTTTGGTATCTGTACCATAGAAACATTGCCTTTTCTACACATTCCTCATTATTGTTTCCCCAGAAAATTATTGTAAGAAATTATGAAACCATATTAAATACCCATACTCAGTTTTGCCTAATTTTTACAAATAAAGATTTGTACTTCAAAAAAATAGAAAAAGAAAAGAAAAGAAACAAACAAAAACCTTAGAAGAAGAATTGCTTGAGCCCAAGAGTTTGAGGTTGCTGTAAGCTAGGCTGATGCCATGGCACTCTAACCTGGGCAACAGAGGGAGACTCTGTCTCAAAAACAAACAAGAAAAAATCCCTAGAAGACATATTTTCTAGAACTTACCTCATATATCACTGAAATGACACAGAATACTGTGAGATTTTTACCCAACAGGTAAGAAATTTCAGACTATGGGCAGACTGCTGCTAGGCCAGTATGATGTGCATATAGTAGAGGCCAAATATGGTCAAATCACTTGCTCATCAGACATGATTGTCCATTTTAAGAAAATGGATTCTACAGTAAGTGCAATTAAACTTGTATTCTTCAGTTGAAATACAAAAACGAAAAGAGGAAAAACATGTCATATAGGAAGGAGTTTTCAACACATACAGAGACTGACAAGTCTTCAGAGTATTTTTCTACATGAACATTCACAAGTGGGGACACATCCAGTCAAAAATCTGCTGATTTCACTCCCACAGTCACTAATGTGGAGACCAGGGATAGTGTAATTATAATTGTATTCTTATCAAAATAGTCCAAAACACAAAGAAAAAGTGGTCTATAGAAAAGGATTTGTAAAACAAAGAATAAAAAGTCTATGAAATATATTCACAAGAGAGAGACATGTCTCAACAAAATTCTAGTGATTTAGTCTAGTAAACCATGTTGATCTTTGTGACACTACACACACTCCTGTGAGAAGGACACTGACAGGCCCTGCACAGTGTGACGGCCCCAATCACAAACCTCCCAGGAGGCTCAGCCTCTCGCTGTGGCAGGAGCAGCAGCTGTGCCCAGAAGACGAGTCCAAGCCAGGCTGGCGCAGGTGGAGGCGGCTGCAGAGCCTTGGGGACGGGACACAGAGGCCTCATCAATGGGCACCGGTTCCTCTTCTGTAACAGGGGACAGGGCCCTCTAGGACAGCGTCCCAGAGCCTCTCCCTCCTCCCCACTCAGGGCTCTCACAGCCACAGACCCTCCAGGCAGTGGCTGCCTCGTCCTCCCTAGAGCAGCCACTCAGTTCCCTGCTGCCCTCATGGCTGCACAGTTGCTCAGTGATGCCACCGGGAGGGGACACTAGCGTGTTGTGATATCACCTGCTGCCACTGATGAGCTTCAGTGCCCTTCCTGCCTTTGCCAAGTCAGCACCACTCTCACCAGCCCTCAGGAGAAGGGAAAGCTGCCTGCACTGCACGAGTTTGCTGTTTGAGTAAGTCGAATCTCACAAAAGTCTCACATGATAATATTGTCTGACAATCCTACTTTGACTTTCCCTTTATTTCATTTCTGGATCCAATAGAGGTTATTCTTTCACCCCTTACAGTCTCTTAGAAGTTATGCACAGTGTGAAGTGACTAGATTTGGCTGATGGCTTATTATGTTTCTTCCTTTGTGTCAGGCCGCATGACGCTTTGTTAACATAGTGGAGAGCAAGATACATTTTTAGTATTAGAAATATTGTACATTGACTCTTCCCACATGTGCACTCACCAGGGGATTTGCATACTGTCCCCAAGGGATGCCCTTCCCCTGTATGTCTCAGATAAAAGCTGGGCTCTAAGCTGGCCTGGAGTGACCAGGACTCCTCAGTCCCACTTCTCAAAATGAGGCTCCCTGCTCAGCTCCTGGGGCTGCTGGTGCTCTGGGTCCCTGGTAAGGACAGGAAGAGATGAGGAAGGAGGACGGGGTGGGAGAGTGAGCTGTGGGGCCCCACTGACTGACATGTGTGCTCTGGGCATGTGTTAGATTTGCGTGTCCTGTCCTTGAGGATGCGGCAGGTGAGTTTAGATCTTAGAGTGAGAAGAGTTTCGGAAGGAGAGAGGACCGGTGCTTTGGTGAAGACTCTGACACAGAGAGAGGGGGATGGTATAAGAGAATTCTAGCAGCCTTTGTGTATTTCGTAAACCTCAGTTGTTTTTGAAATGAGAGATTTCTGGGGAATGAATCATAATCACAAATATGAAAAATGATTTAGCCTGAAGTAAATAATAAAATAAAAATTATATAAATTGCACTTAAGGTTTGTAACTAACCTTGCAGTTCTCTCTCGTTATTTCAGGATCCAGTGAGGATATTGTGATGACCCAGACCCCACTCTCCCTGCCCGTCACCCCTGGAGCGCCGCCTCCGTCTCCTGCAGCGCTGGTCAGAGCCTCCTGCATAGCGACGGAAACACCTGTGTGAATTGAGACCTGCAGAAGCCAGGCTGGTCTCTATGGCTCTGGAACTATTGTTTTCCTCCCAGTTTCTTAGGTTCCTAGAATGGTTCCGTGGCACCAAGTCAGGACAGATTTCATGCTTAAAATCCTCCTCCTCAGCATGGAGGCTGAGGATGTTGGGGTTTACTACTGCCCGCAAGCTCTGTAATTTCCTCACATACCGATAAAGCCTGGAACACAAACCTCCACTGTTCAATTGTGCCAGCTGCCCTAATTTTCCCTTCCTTAGGGAGAACACAGAGTATGGTCTCTGAATCTGTGCTAGACGAAGATGTTGGAGACCTCAGGAGACTAGGTCGCAGCTGGACATGCACCTTGGCTGCACCTCAAGCACCACACTGAAGACCCCATCCGCTGTGACAGCCTCACAACAGCAGAACCTGCAGCAGAGTGGAGTGGGCCCGAGTGCCCTCCGAGTAGTAGCCAGGCATGAGGAGGGGAGAGCTGACTCCATCCTCTGACTTAAAGCTCAATCCTCTCTGCTTTGCATGCACTTGTCAGTTACATTTCCTCAGCAGAGCAGCCACACAATTAATGCCAATTTATGACAATCCAATAGTGGCACATTTTTTGGTATTGTTTTGGCAGCTTGGTATTGTTTTCAGCAGTTACGAGTCTATATTCAGGAGGGTAATGTTTGGTGATGTTAAGGTACTGTGTGTCTCTCCTTGGCCACTTTTGCCTGGTACTTGTTCTTAGTACACTTTCTTCTCCAGGACCAGAGCAGGCACAGGATTGTATTTGACTGTTCTCTGGTGGAGTATCCAAGAAAATAGAGTCACATTCTTGGTTTTGTTATTAACAGACTTTTTTAAGTTAAATAATTAAAACTAGAACCAACAGTCTTTCAACAATCATAGTCAAAACACATAAAAACAAAGAACAATTTTGTTTTTCTGAATTCTAATGATGCATTTTAAAATGCAACCAAAAGCACTGGATGATTTAGAGAGCATAGTATGCCATATTAAAATTAATTTGTATAATACAGGGTACTGTGTGTGTTACTCCATTTTGTGTTGCCATAAAGGAAATAGCTGAGGCTGGGCAATTTAAACATTATGGAGACTGATTTGGCTCATGGATGTGCTGACTGGATCAGGAGTGTGGCACCAGCATGTACTTCTGGGGAGGGCTGCTGGCAGCTTCCAATCCAGGTAGAAGGTGAAGGGCAGCAAGCACCTCTCGTGGTGAAAGATAGAGAAAGAAAGGGAGGAGGTGGTGCCAGCCTGTTTTAAACAACAAGCTCTGATGTGAACCAACAATTGAGATGTCACTCATCCCATGGAGGGCTCTAAGCCTTTCAAGAGGGATCTGTCCTAAAGACCCAGACACCTCCAACCAGGCCCACCTCAAACACTGGGGATCAAATTTCAACATGTGATTTGAAAGGGCCAAATATCCAAACCATATCACTGTGTAAGCCAATTATTTCTGTTTGAAAAAGAAGAATCTTGAGACTTCGGTCAGAGGAAATAAATCAGAAGGTGAAGCACGTGGTAGAGGTCAGCTCTTGGCACAGCGCCCAGCTCTGTGGCTCATATGTTGGAATGTTGATGCTTTTGGGGTTGGGGTTGAGATATGAGCCCAGATACAAGCTCAGATGTGTCCTGTGGGAGGAATCACAGAGTTGAAGGAATCCCTGCCTGGAGGTCAATTCTCTGCCCAGATGCTATTGTAAGCTCAAAGATAAATCGCATGTCAGACAGGATTCTAGTGCATCAGGGATGCAAGGGTCAGTGAAATTCCTTTCCAAATGAACCTTAGGTCATATCACACATTCCTAGCGAACCCAGTAGAGGAGGTGTAGGTAGGTTTCTAATGGTCAAATCTACCCTCATTATATGCTTGGGAATGAGTGGTCTCATTTAGTTCCCTTTTGGAAAAATGGCCATTCAGAATAGACCAGGTAGTTGGGAGGAAGGGAATGTTGACCAGAAGGCTGAGCTGGGGCTAGAAGGTCAGCAGGAGCTGCAATGTGGGGTGCCAAGAGTCATGCCTCAGACAAAGCTAGAGGACAGTCAGGGCAAAATTATGAAAGGGAACCCCATGAGATTGTGGGAGGTTTCAGTGGTCTTGTTGGCTCATCCATTCAGTCACCTTTCCCATCCCAGACCTCATCAAATGTTCCAAGGAAAATCCAGTGTGAGGCTTAAGGCTCAGATTGTGTCTAATCTATTAGGGCAGCTCCGTGCACCTGCTGAAGCTCAGGTGGCTTCTCTTCCTCAGTAGAGTTCCTGGCCACGGCCAAGTGAGATACTCTGCTAATCTCAAATTCGGAAAATGTCAGTAGGGAACAAAATGACCGGAGAAATCAAAGTCTCGTACAAAGGCCTATTTCTTTCTGGAACTTTAGGTTATTTAGTCTTCATTTCTTCCATAGTTTTCTAGTGTATTATGAACATGTTTTTTTTAAAAAAAAACAAAAACAAACAAACAAAAAAAACAACCAGGGCAAGAGAGAAGAAGTCACAAAGGTGGTGGGTCAGAGCTGTGTTCTCTCAGTGTGTTAAAGATCCGGATGCACACAGGGCTCACGTGAGATCAAGGAGGCCTTCGTTGTGTTCCGGGACCAAATGTTTTGCAAAGCACAGTGAGGCATTATGGGATATTTTTGAAACAGAGCACTCCCATGATAGGATTTATTTTTTAACAATTGACCACTATGGTTGGGCTGTGGGGAACAGGAAGAACTCTTGGCAGGGCAGAGTGCCTCCTGGCATACACTAAACTCAGGGCAGTGGAGATCACTGGGGATGTAGGCAGACAGTGCCATATTTTGGAGTTAATGTCCATTAGACTTTCTGATGTACAAAATGAGAGAAAGAGGGATTAAGAATGGCCCCGAGGTTTTGACCTTAAGCCAGTAGTTAGATTGTGATTTACTGATATCAAATAAAATATGGGCCAAATAAATTAGGGTCATAAAAAGAGAAGTTTGTTGTTGTTGTTCACTTCCCCAGTTTGAGAGGACAATAAACACGTAGATAAAGCGTCAGGTTTGCAGATGAGTGTAGTTTGGGCTCAGAGGACAGGAAATACACAGAGGTATTCGGCAGTGCCTAGAGGGAAATTGATAGCATTGAAATGAATATAAGCATATGCGCATGCACAGATACATATGCATGTGTGTGTATGTGTGTGTGTGCACACAAGTACATAAATATCTGTGTGAAAACTAAAGGCATAAAATCAATAACCTCAACTTCTACCTTACCAAACTATAGAATGAGGAGCAATTTAAATCTAAAAGATTTAAAATCTTAAGAAAGTAAATAGTAAATATTACAGTGGAAATCAGAAAAATTAAAAACAACAGTGAACACTAAGCACAACAAAAGCTGATTCTTTGAAAAGACTATGTTGTTTAGTTACCACGTGTTTGGAAATTCTTGGGTTATGTTTTCCATTATTGATTTCTGGTTTGATTCCTCTGTGGTCAGAGAATACACATATTATAATTTTAACAATTTTAATGTGTTAAGGTGTTTTATGGACAGAATATGGCCTATCTTGCTATCTGTTCTATGAGCACTTAAAAAATATGAATTCCGCTATTGTTGGTTGGAGTGTTCTATAAATGTCTGTTGGTTGATGATGATATAGAGTCTTTCGATATTTGTGCTGATTTTCTGTCTAGTTGTCCTATTGATTGTTGATAATGAGCATCCAAATCTCCAAATGTAATTGTTCTGTTGGTTTTTGTACTTTGTTGTTTGGTCCATACACACTCAGAAGTGCTCCGTCTTCTTTTTGGAATGACTCTTTTTATTTTTGTTATGTAGTGCACCTTTCTTTCCCTGGAAATTTTCTTTGGCTCTGTAGTCTACTTTCCCTGATGCCAATATTAGCTCTTCCTTCTTTCTTTTTATTAGTATTAATATTTTCACCGTGTGCCTTTTTCCTTTCGTCTATATTCAAGCTAGTTTTATTGTTATATTTGATGTGAGTGACTTTTCCTATAGATTTCGTCAATTTCTTATTTCATATATTTAATGTAAATATTGATATGTTAGGATTTACGTCTGTACTCACTCTGGTATTTGGTAAACCTTTTTCTGTTTCTTCATTTTCTTTTTCTTGCCTTTCTTTGGGAAGGTTGAAAGTTCTTACAATTGCATTCTTATTTTTCATAGTTTTTTGTTGTATCTCTATTTATAATGATTTTTAATGCTTGCTGTGGTATTTCCTTTATATGTATATTGTATCACAGTACATTGGAGTAAATATTTTACCATTTAAATCAAATATAGAAATTTACATTCCTTTATGTCCCTTTATCCTCCCCATTGATAGTAGAAATTTCCTAAATATTTCCCCTACAGACATTGGGAACAACATCGGACAGTGTTAAAACTTTTGCTACAAACATCGCACATTATTTAGAAGTGCATTTTATTCATCTATCTTTTAATCTTTTATAGTCTTTCTTCCCCATAATGTTTCAAGATTCTTTCTTCTGTCATTGATTTTACCTTTCTAGGGCTCCTTTTAGCCATGTTTAAGGTGAGACTGCTAGAAACAAATTCTCTTAGTTTTTCTACAACTGAGGAATTCTGGATTTCTTGTTGATTCCTGCAGAGCATTTCTACTGGGCATAGAAATCTAGATTGACAGGTTTGTTTGTTTTGTTTTGTTTTTTGGCACTTGAAAATGTGTCATTTCCTTCTGACATTCATGGTTTTTGAAGAGAAATTTGAGTGATTTAAGTTTTTTTTTCCCCCTAGAGGTAAAGAATAATTTTTCTCATACTACTTTTAATAATTTTTGTGTGTGTTTAGTTATTAGAAGTTTAGATATGTTGTGTCTTGGTGTAGATTTTTTTGTGTTTATCCTTTGTCTATGTTCATTTTCTTTTCAGTCTATTTTCTCACTGCTGTTTAGGTTGGGCCATTACTGTTATTCCATTTTCCACCTCAAGAATTCTTTCCTCTGCACATTCCATCCTACTATTAGGCCATCTATAGAGCTGTTCATTATGGTGATAGTATCTTTCAGTTTTAAGATTTCCATGTTTTCCTTTGTTATATTTTGTATTTCCTTCCTGATGTTTTCTATTATTTCATTTATATCAAGCACGTTTGCAATTGTTCATTGATGCATTTTTATGAGGGCTGCTTGAAATCATTTTAAGATGATTTTAACATATAAGTCTTCAGGGGTTACTTCCCAAAGTATGACACAGATT